TTGGGAGTGTAACTTCAGGGATTTACACCTGTTACTCTACAGCAGTACATGTATGTGTGCATAACAAAGCGAATCACGCTCCAGGAGGAGAGTTTCGGTTCAACAAAAGGGTTTGAACCATTGATTTGAGCTGTGCAGAGCCGCTACACAAGACAAAAGGGTATGGCGTGACACGGACGGGTTTCTACTCCCAACAAGGTCATGGAAGGGTAACAGCCGCTCGCGCGCTGGAATGGGTGATATAGTATCTATGCATAGCTTAAGCGCGTCAGTTTTGTCAATTTTACCTGGAGCGTGGTTGAGTGATTGCCCACAAAGAGTTACGCTGACCGCGAATTTGAGGGAGTTGATTGGTGCCGCTCTTTAGTTGAGGGGTTCAGCAAGCACGGGGCATGAGTTACCCTCTCAACCCCTGGTTCCTGACCTGACCCTTTCTTTAGGGTGTTGATTGACCCTGATCCGCTCAGGGCCAACCTACAGTACCGTACACACCTAAGAAACACACCTCACAACATAATCTGTGTGTCCATAAAGCACACTCTCTAACTGTAGACTTAAAGTGTATTTATGTATGTCACGTAAAGCACATAGGCCGCGCTGGGAGGACCTTCTTGTGTTGAATACCGCCACCACCGCCTCCTCTGTGTCTGGTCTGGCCTGTTTTCTCCTTTCTCGTAAAATTCCTCGAAGGTCCCTTCCTCACTCAACTTCACCGTGTCTTTTCTCCCCCTGTGAATCCTCCCAAGTAGTATCCGACTTAATTCACACCCCCTCCTCCCCTCTTCTATCTTCCTCTTCTCCCTACCACTTTTCCTCGTCCTCAACAGGTCACATTCTCTTTCATGCCTTTGACCATTCATCGGGCTCGCACCAATTCGTAGCACCATCCCTCATCGAGTGCTCAACTAAACCCCCCTCAACCCTCCCTCACACCTCCACCTCCTTATCAATCTCCCTGTCCTTCACACCGGCTACACATCACCACCACTACCATCATCATCATCATCACATCACATCGCTCATATAGAAACTAACTCCCACAACACCAACTTCCATAACCACCGCCTCGGAGTGGTCAATGTATTCTCCCATCTCAGACGATGATCGGCCTAGTGGTCGGCGCCATTCAGTCAGGTCAAGAAATGGTTCTATGGGTGCAGGATCCGTAAGGAATGGGGTAAAGGGGGCTGTCCCGCGACGGAGGTCTTCTGCGGCCACAACTCACAATTCGGTCTTGAAAGTCAAAAGAAAAAGGAGCCCTGCAAAGGAAAAGGATGCAAAGCCCCCTCTTAACGCATTTGATCGCCTCGCCACTTATATGGTCGAAAGACAAATAAGTAAGTATGACAATTGCACTTTACCCCTCACTCTCAATGTGCAAACTTTCACTAAAACCATCTTTAACACGAATTTTACTAATGTGCTATATTCACAGAGTTCTCACTCATAATTCTTTCCTGTTTCGCGGCAATTCACATTCTGCTTCCGCAATACCGATCTACAACCACTAAACTCTTCAAAATATCTTACCATAATCCCGATACCGATCTCTATGGCAAGGGTGAAGATGACATTTATTTTCTATCCTTCTGGATAGTGATGTTTACTTTCCTTCGTGCAACTGCCATGGATTATATTTTCACGCCATTGGCTAGACGAGGTGGAATTTCTACCAAAAGAGGCCTTATCAGGTTTGCTGAGCAAGCATGGTTGTTGGTTTACTACTCTGTTTTCTGGACGTTGGGGATGGTATGTCTTAAATTCCGTTCCAAAGATGTTCCTGTAGCACAACTGCGCGAAAGAACCGGAAAGGACTAACAATACCCTTTCGTTACCTGTAGTACCTGATGTATGACAGCCCGTACTGGCTCAACCTCCCCGAGATGTGGACCAACTGGCCTTTGCGCGATTTGGGTGGTACTTTCAAGTGGTATTACTTGGTTCAGTTCGCGTTCTGGCTACAACAAATTTTTGTCCTCAATATTGAGGAAAGAAGAAAGGATTACTACCAAATGTTCGCACATCACATCATTACATGCACCCTCATGTTCACGAGCTACACATTGCACATGACCAGAGTCGGCAATGTGATACTTTGCGTCATGGACGTTGTGGACACACTTTTACCAGTGAGCCAGAGCCTCTTTCTCGAATCTTTGCCCGGTCCGCTTACTGACAATTGCCTGAAATAGCTTGCCAAAATGCTTAAGTACCTCGGTTATAGTACAATCTGCGATTGGGCGTTTGGCGTCTTTCTCATCACCTGGTTTATCGGTCGACATATTTGTTACATGCTCGTTGTCAATTCTGCCTGGAGAGACGCACTTGTAATGATCCCAGAGGGTTGCTATCATCCAGGCTCTGTCACCCAAACGCCTATGCCTGATATCATTCAGGATTGGTCGCTTCTGATCCGCCAGTTCTATTATCCAACAGAGGCAGTTTGTTTCACGAAACCTATCCTGATGGGATTTATCTTTTTGCTATTGGCATTGCAAGTACTCACATTGATGTGGTTCTACATGATCATCGGTGTGGCTGTAAAGGTTATCAAGGGAGGACAAGCTGAGGACACTAGGAGTGACGATGAGGATTCTGAAGAGGAGGGTGAAGAAGAGGAAGAAGAGGATCTGATTGAGGAGGCTCCTGTAAAAGCAGTTGACTCTGCTCAAATGACTGGAGCTGCAATGTCAACAGCTTCATTACCTTCCGTAATCATGAACGGCGGATCCCGCCGGCATCTCTCTGCACAGCCTCTAGGTGGAGGGTAAAGTGTTTTGTGGGGATTGTTGTAACACTTGTTTTATTTTCTTGTTTCATTGTTTCTTATAGGGATTTCGTTGCGGTTTTGGATGCGAGTATCAAAAATGATTGAGCGAGTGGGGTTGGTGTGAACGAGTGTTTAATTATACTTCTGTAGTATTGTTCAGCAAGGACTTTTTTCAACGTTTCAAGGGCCTTTTCCCATTTATCTGTAATAACTTTTACCTTGATATTCAGTTTTGCTTCATTTTCATGTGTGATGCACCGGGCTTGCGCTCGTCTTCATCAAAACTCCCTTCCCTTCTCTTTACCGGAATCTATCTTACGCCTGCATCTGTTTAATCTTCATTTATTTTTTGACTTCGTCTTTGGAGGAAGGATATGTTGTAGGGGCTTCTATTAGCTGATCTTTTATTTCTGGGTCTTTTCTTACCAAGTTATGGTGATTTACGATACCCTATCGAGACAAATTTATGTGATGTTTGCAGGGTTAGGTTAGAAACGGTTAGACGGCGATCTTTTGTATTTTTATGTTTCATTTTTATTTCAGCCTTCTGTATCACACACCACTCGTCACCATGATTACCAGAATATTTTATTGTCACTCTATGGAGGTATTGATTGAGCTTCATGGAGTAGGTCTCATCAAAAAGGAATCTTCACCCTCGAGCAAGCTACACCATAGGTACATACGGTAGTCCGATGACTTATGGTTGCCCCCCCCCCCAAAAAAAAAAAAAAAAAAAAAACATCGAAATCAGCTGTTTGTTTTCCTGGAAGCTTATGTGGCCCTACTTGTACTATATTTATCTCCCTTCAAAGGTGTCAACAGGAGCACCGTCTTCCGAGCAAGAATCGGCACGGTTCCGAAGAATTGCCGGGAAGGATGCTACGCATCTAGAGTACATCAGCTGGTCGTTGGAAAATAATAATAATAATAATATATATATATAAAAAAAAGCCATCCAATTGCAATGCAATGTAACGCACAGCGAACCAGGACGCTCAATGAGAATGTGCAGTGACATTCGCCTCACAACAATAAAACCAACTTGGCCCAACCCAACCCACCGACCGCTGCCCCTATCTTTGGTTGGTGGGTTACATCTGTTCCTTTGGGTTCTCTAGCTGGTGCAGTTAGTTCTACATATTTCATTTCGTCCCAGAAATTCCCGGACCCATGTTTCGTGCGGAGCGGGCCGAAATCAAAAAGCAAAAGGGCTTGCAAAATCTCAATGGGAATTGCAGACATGTGCGTAGTAGGTAGGTATCGAATCTTTTGAGCATTGAATAGCCGCAATATCTTGGCTTAAAAAGTAAACTTACTGCTACCGCCCCCGCCCCCCCTTTAGATACCATACTGCTTCTGCCAGAACTAGCAACTAACTTACTACGGTGCACCTGCGCACACTAGAGGAAAAGAAACAAATAACACAAAAATACGGACTAGAGCTTCCCAACCGGCTCCGAAGAAAATATGAGTTCATCTCTCATGACCCGAAAATAAGAACCCTCCACATTATAGAGAAACAAATTTCCTGTGGAAGAAAGAATAGATGGAAAACAAAGGAGAGATTTCGAAGAAAGATTGCTGTATGGAATTGGCGTGTAGATGGAGGAGGGGGGAACAGGGGAATCCATTAACCAACAAAGGTGTTCAAGACAGATATTTTACGTACGAAGAAAAACCGTCTGTCTCCTTTACGCCCAAAAAATAAGGAGAGAGGAACTCGGGGGTATATAAAACATGATTTTGGGTATGTAAATCAATAGAGAAAATAGAGTAAAGCCTCTCCAGGAACAAAAAAAGAAAGAAAGAAAAAAACAGAACTGAAAAAAATACAAATGAACAGAAACAAATGGATATTGGACGCCCAGACCTTTCCCCTAATAAAACCCAAGTTGCCTAGCGCGCTGACGACGACTAGGCCAGATCCTCCCCAACGTCGCTACCAAGAAATGCGTGTATCGAAGAAACCCCACAAGAAAATCACCTCCATCAACGCCGTAGCGTGTAAAAGTTTGATCGGCATAACGAATATTGTATTTTGAAGAATAGTAGTGGAGCCTATCCAAAAGATCTTGGTGAACGCCAATTTGTATATTCCTTTTCCGGAACTCCTACAACCGATGATTCCCCAGTCCCAGTCTCGTACACCCGCACTTTCCTTCCGAACCCCTACGTCCTAACAATGCCGAATCCGCCCGGGGTTGCAACATGCCATTACACCGCCATCTTACAGCAATATCAAGTAATTTGATGGTGCAATACCCGTCTCTCCATTCTGTTTCCTCGCCTGCCACCATCGTCCAGAAACGTCCGAAACCTCCAAAATCTCGTGCTTTGTGAACGAGATTTCGTTCGCATCCTCCGGGTTGGCATCGTACGAGTAGATTGCCTTTGCCCTGTATGGGTAATCGGTGGGAGCGGTGACCTCGTCCGGCGGGATCTGGATCGCCGCACTCTGCGGCTGGGGTGTAGTTGAAGGGCCAGGGGCGGGTGTCGCACTGTTGGGCGAAGCATACTTGTTAATGGACTCCCTGTACTGCGCACCGGGTTGTGGCGAGCTTGTCTCGAAGCCGCTGAGCTGGGCACTAGTGTACATCTGGGGTGCGTGATGGCTGCTAGTGCTGGTATGCGGCCTGTCGCCGTGGTAGCCAGGCGATAGCGGGTGTGTGCTCTGAGACCGCTTCTGGTCCTTGTGCAGAGCGAACGAATCAACATAGGCGTGTGATAACGCGTCGGGGGTCGACCCGAAGTAAAAGATCCAGATAATCTATAGAGAAACGAAACAGTTTAATAAACCTTCCCCTTTCGAGATTTCGAGCAAGAAAAGTCGTCGGTACTGACCTGGACGATAGAGAGGATAATGTGACCAGCACCCGCCGCTTGCATAGTTCCCCTATCGGTGTAAACGAGCGTGTTTGCAGCCGAACAGGTAAAGACCATCCCAGCTGAAAGATATCCAACGATCTATAAACGCCCCGCAAAATAGAATCAGTAAACAGATTTCTTGAAACGAAAAAAGGCCTCCCAATTACTGAAATAAAAACTTACAGCCATCTGATATTTGTGTGCCGAATCCATTAATACTACAATGATCACCCCAATTATACAAAATAGTACATAGACGATCGACCACCAAGCGAACTTTGGGAAATTCCCAATCGTTCTATCGGCGTCCGCAATCATCTGTGAGACGAACCCTACCAGCCATCCTATCTGTTTGTGCTTGTCAGTAAACAGTAAACAAGCGACAACAACGACAACTCTCTTTGTTTGCTCGGCAACGGACTCCTAAAGCTCCCCCTCGCAACTGCAACAGCAACAACAAAAGGGTGATATATGAGCGCTACTCACTATAGCTATTGAGATAGTTGATAGAGCGAACGGATCGCCAATTATATTTCCAAAGTCCGCTCTCGAGGAGCTGCCATAGGACCTGCCTCGCGACATTGCTTTATCCTGCCCTTGCATTTTTCTTCCAGACGGTTGATGAAGGGAGGTGTAGGATTGCATGTAACTCCCCACGAAGGAGATGTCAAAAAGTGAACGGGATCAAGCAGTCGTAGAAAGGAGCGTAGCAGAAAACGGAAACCCAAGTGTTTTTGTTCGCTCCGACGGGTTTGGCAGTAGTGTCGTTATTGCAATGAAAAAGTTAGGGGGGTGGGGGATGAAAGAGGGAGGGAGGAAGCGATCCCAGGTGGAATGGCGGAAGGAGAATTGCGATGGGGCAAGCACTGACAGGGAAGACCTGGGGGTGCTTAGATGACGATGGGGGTGCGAGTGGGAGTGGATGCTGCACAGAGCGCTCTTCCGGTTCAATCAATTAGAGAAAAAGGTGGGACGCGGACGCGGCAGGGGCTAGTTTCACGATGAGCAGCGTAGACCCTCGAATGGCGGTAGCGACAACCACGTAGAATGGAGAGTGGTTAAGTGGGCTTTAATTGTATGGCTGACCGTGTGGCTTGAATGCAACAATGGATCTGCTTCTGAAAGTGCTAGAGACAAGGGCTGAAAATCGTGAGCTTCAAGTGTTGCAATTAATTATTACGTGTTAGTGGGATGAAGGGGTTGGGTGGAAATGGCAGTTAGAGATGACGATGTGTGTGTGTGGAGGAAGTGTGAATAGAGGTGAATAGAAATGTGGGAGGAGAGTTCCTTTAGAAGTAGGCAGGCGGAGTATTATGGAAACAGAATTGAGATGAGTGGTAGAGGGGAGGGGTATGTATGTATGATATGTGATGTGTTTGGCACGTTTTGTACGCCGCAAAAAGAGCAGGCGAGTGGGTCTACCATGCAATAAAAAATAGTAAGATCTTAATAGGAAAGAGAAGGAGATGATGTGCATGTATGGCGAAGGGATTGCCTGCTTTTACTAGCCTTCCCACTTCAAAGTACTGGAAACCATGAGCCTTGCTCTGGGTATGTAGACTGGAGATGAGGCAATCGTACTTTTGGGGGGGGGGGGGGGGGGGGGCAGTGAGGCTGTACCTACATGTGTATTATTGACTGGTGGAACGGGATGTGTGTGTGTGTGTGTGTGCTTACACTACAGTAACTATGTACTAGTAGTACCAACTAGTAGTAAATTTCGGTTCCCAAAGGAAGAATAAAAAAAAGAAAAGAACACCCCGAAGTGGATTCGCTGCAGCAAAAGAGGAATTGGAAGGTCAATAGGAAGACGGAAAGCGTAAATTGAACGGTAGACCAGCCGATCTGGGGAGTAGAGCTTATCCTTCCCGGCTCACCAGTAACAATAAGAAAAAATAAAGCGGGAGACCACCCTATATGAAGTATATATATATATATATATCACGGGTATGCTGCTTCTCCCTCTCGCATGAAGAACGACGTGAGATGGAAGAATCGATATCCCTGATATTATCCCTCTCCAATATCCAAATTCGCGCTCCTTTACCTGAAGGAAAGAAAGAAAGAGCTTTTTTCGTCAATTAAACAGAAAGTCGGGTATGCGAATGTAGAAATGGCGAGTCCTGCTCCGGGTTACCGCCTAAATACGGCGAGAACGCACTGCAAAGAGGCGAAGATACTTGACAAGAACACTAGTATCTGCGGCGTAAGTATCCTTCCCTCTATCTTGTGAGCAGTGCCTCTCTTTATATTCCCCCCCAGATCTGCAACGAGGGCGCTCTGCCAGGCCCAAAAGCGTTACTTTAGGTGTTCTTTTTCCATCGTCGCTACCCGCCGCCGCAGATGATGCGCTGTGTGTAAATTTAGTAGCAAATCAGAGCGAGCGCCTGTCACCAATGTACTTCAGATCTCCTTCCACCCGGCTCATTGTTCCTGTGGCTAAAAACGTGTACATATCTTCACGATTGCCGAGTTTTGAAACGGAGAAAACGGATCTTTCCCCCTCTTTTTATTTTCTTTTCTTCTTTTTCCCCCACAAGAATTGGCGAGATGTCGGGGGTGTTATCCCAAATTGCTGCTTTGCCAGAAATGCGGTCTTATTTTCGATCCCCATCCCCAAAGTACCACCATCTGGCGCTGCATGGTGATAACATACATGTGCCATCTATGCACACTTCAAGTCATAAAGCAAACGAGAGCATAAGAGGTTATAATTACTCATCAGCAAGCATCACAAGAGTAGAGTACCTTAGCAGCAGTGCCAGCTGCAGCCTGGGCGGCACCCATCAAGCTCCTTCCTCAATTGAGCCGCCGCCGCATCTAAGTACCCTAACCCTAGACCAGACCAGACGCAGCCCTACAGCCACACACCATACAGGGTCCATCCCCATCCATCAATATGGCTTCCGGTGGAATCAATAACAGTCATTCGGGACTGGACCCTGACATGGAGGTGCAATTTCTAAGTTTTCTTTGGAGGGGGTGGGGGATGGGCTATGTATAGTCAGACGAACCTTAAGTGTATGTCTAAGAAACATCATACTACGGGATGTCTCAGGCGAGGCATGTCTGGAAGCTCCGGGATTGGCGGTGCATCCGCGAAGGTTTAGTCTGACGGACTTTACTTGATAACGCTACTGACGTCTTGATTGACTCAAGGTAGATTTTTGTATCTATATGCGGGGCAGAGGGAACCTGACAGGTACAAAGCTTATGGACACACGGTTGACAGAAGCGGTTTTCGACGAAAGTCGTTTTTAAGGCTCTTTCCGAGCACTGGGTACATGAAAAGATTATTTCCGTGCTCTTTCCGAGTGGTAGTCTCACTTCAGGACATCTCCCCAGCCCTTGTCTGTTGGCGCTATGCAGTTCAGATGACGCTTTACAGGCACCTTCACGGCTTCAATCCCTCAGGAATATCACAATCATAGCAACAACCTCCGCATCAATTCCCACCAAGCTACTCTCCACGGTTCTATCTACCAATACTATATATATATATATATATGTATAAAAGGCGGAACCAATGAATGAACCTAAATAGGCTCATGCACAGCTACATACTCCACCCTACTCTAATGCCCTATTATCACCGATAGAATAACAATGAAAAAAGACATTACAACACGAGTAACCCTACAGGGCCGAAAACAAAACGCCATAAATGATGAAAGTTATGCCGGGCATCACAAGCGAGAATAAGACGACAGTATAAAAGAAAAGAACAACAATAGACAGAAAACAAAACTCACGAGAAACTCTAGCTCCGAGATGAATGCGTCTCCACCCCTCGCACCTATGCAACCTACCAGTTACCAACCACCCGTATGTAAGAACACCTGCATATCGAAAAGTCAAGCCTTACAAGTGTTCCCACATACTGCTGATGTTTCATCAGCAGTCCACCTATAAATATTTATAAACTACTCAATGACTCGGATGTCCGAGGATATTAACACCCAGACACACGAACATAACTAGAAACCCATAGCACACGAGCGCCAGCGCCCCTCTCCTTAGCAGCCTGGTCTTCCAGTTGTCAACGCTGCCGATAAACTCGCCCACCTCCTCGTCGTTCAAGTCCTCGTCGTCCTTCAGCAGTGCGTGGTGGTCAGCCTCGGGGTTCGAGATCTTCCAGTAGAAAATTCCCGGCAAGATGCTGCGCCACATTAGTTTCGACACTCCCGAGACATGTGATAGATGGAGGGAAACTCACAAACTAATACTCGTACTTCCAGTGCTGCCAACGTACGCCAGTACCCTCTCCAAACTGTTCACCGTGATTGCCGTCAAGAACGTTCCGAGCAAAATCAGTGTCGTGATGACCGCAAATCGGCGATCGCTCATCTCGGCACTCCTGACAACCGGCATCATGGGTCTCCCGGCCGCACCACCTCGCGCTGGCCGCCACTTGAGCACGTTGTCCACACTAGCCCTTGCCGGATGCGCCTGCAGCGGGTAGCTAAACACCACCAAGATCACAATTGCGGCTCTGCCCACCGTGCTCGTCCACGCACCTGGATACATGGCAATGATATTCCCAGCCACATTGTCACCATACGAGAGGTACCCTGTGATTGCCACGAGCAGGTAGATGAACCCTGCGGACCCAATCGAGCCAAAGATGACGCTCAGAGTGCTGCCGTGGGAGTTATCGTTGATCTCGTTGACAATGGAGAACATGTTCTGGTGGCAAGTATAGGCGAAAACGATGATGGGGAAGGCGCCAAGAACATCAATGGTTGACGAGGGGAAGAGCGGGTGGATGGGGCCCCGGTCTGGGAGTGTGTCGCCGATAATGAAGTGCGCAAGTACAAGGACTACCAGGTAACTGATGGAGACAAGGGCGATGAAGGAGGTGTACTTGAGCGAGTCTAGGCGGCGCAGAAACGACAATGGGATCACGATCAGCATGAAGGCGGTGATCCAGAAGCGACGATCCATGAGGTAGTCGATGCTGCCCGCATTCTCGTTGAAGCCGAGGATTACCTGTGGCATGAGGTCGCCGATGATGATTAGGTACGATACAGCCACGCCTGTCACATGATCTCATTAGGAACCCGCGATATATCTACAGCACAACACTATGGGCAGTGGGCACACACCGAAACACTTTATCGCAATCGCAGCATCAAAAACGACCGAGGCATTTGGATATGTCAACTGGCTGAGACTAAAGAAGCTCGCCGTGCCCCTCTCGACATACTTTGCGCACCGTGCCTGCAGGTACAGTCCGAAGCCACTCATACAGCCCGAGAAGACGATCACGAATACACCTAGGGTGATTCCGAACTTTGCCATCGCATGTGGCATCGCAAGAACACCGGCGCCGACAACTACAGATTCCCATCCATGAGTCTCTTTCATACACATGCTGATGGCAGCTATCTGGCAGGGGGGAAGCATACTGGTATTCATAAGATTAATAACACTACTTAGCCATGAGGCTTCGCCGGTAGGAAGTGACTTTCCATGGCGCTGGCGTCTGCTAGCGAGTCGAGGGGGTAAAACCGTTAGCCACATGCAGAAAAGGAGCACTCCATAGACAGGGTATAGCATAGACGGAGCTGACATGTATCACAACCAGGGAGCCGGGTGGGAAGAGGGGTGGATGTAGTACCGTCGGCCGCCTGGAGTATCACCGAGAGTGGCAGGGTGATCGTCGATATCGTGCTGGCTTATCGATTCGTAGTTTGGCGAGGCGGGCATGGCTGTGACAGCGGCAACCCGGTTGCTACAGTTCAGTTACGGGGTGTGGGGTGTATAGTAATATTTAGATTTATATAGTTAGTTAGCAGCCACGTGGTGGTAGCTATTGCAGTAGTGGTGATGATCTCGGTGGCGAAGAAGCAGGAACAGTCGCGTGTGGTATAGTAGGGTATTGTATGTATGAGAACGAGCGTAGAGAAGAGAACAGAACAAAAGTTTACAGCAGTATCTATCTATCTACAGTGGTGAGACAAGATAAGATACGGAAGGGGAATGGAATGAAAGGGGGAAGGGGAAGAAGGGAAGGGGTTGTTAGGTTATGCTGGGGTTGAGCGAAGGGAAGAAAGGGAAGAAGGGAAGAAGGGAGAAGGAGAGGTTGGAGTCAGGCAGTCAGTTACTCGCTGGCGGTGGCGCTCAGGCTCGCAATCAGGCTCGCAATGGTGAGATACACGCGACCCCGGCCTGTCGCCCTGGCGAAAGGGAAAGAAAAAAAAGAAAAAAAGAAAAAAAACGGTTACAACAGGGAACAAGACAAGACAAGGTGGAGGCTCGGCGGCAGCTGGCCACACCCGAGAGCTGGGGAAACTGAAAACTGTGCCGGCGGGTGATCCTGTTTAAAATTATATTAATAGAAACACCGCCAAGGAGTGGGTCAGTTGGTATCGTGATGCAGAAGGGGAATGACGAGTGTGAGAGCGCGTGCAGTGCAGCGATGAATAGCTGCTGGATTTATTAGGCGTGTGCTGTAGCGCTATGTACATACAAGTACATGGATGTACCTATGTAGTTTGTGTATTTACAGTGGATTGTATGGGGATGCGGATTTCCTCATGGACTCTCACTCAGGGCCGAGTAACTCGCCTGCTCTAAGGCGGTCTCAGCAGCAGTGCCTATGGTTTAGCTAAACTAGGCTTGTCATTTTTAACTGTACAAGTTACGTACACACGTGTGCTTTCATTCTTCGTATAGATCGAAGCGTGCATTCTGTTACCGATTGAGCTCTCAAGCACTGCATAAAGAGAGAGAGCGGAGAGAGGTATTGCTTCCAGCACACACGCGGCTATAAAACACCCCGCAACAAGCCCCGTTGCATCCGATCAAAGTGCATCTCCATCTCATTCGTTCATCCGGCCGGGGCAGCATCGCATGGCCAATGACCATCCGTCCCCCATCCCATCCCAGCCCAGGGCCAGGGCCAGGGCCAGGGCTACCGCCCAGTGCCACACCCACCTCGAAGGCTTGGCACGCCGCAAAACGCAAACCTAAAATTAACCCCACAAAGCGGTGACTGATATCATTGACTGACTGGCTGAAATTCAATCATTACCACTCGCATTCACACTCACACTCACACTCACACTCACTCTCACTCTCTCTCATCACTGCAAGCTAGCAATGAACCTCGACGCAAAGCTGCTCTCGTCGCCCCGCACACAGCTGGCCTTGACGGCGCTCGTGTCGGGCGTGGTGGTGGGCTCGACGATCCTAGCGTTCCAGAGGGTGAACCGGCTGTCGAAGGTGAAGAACTTGAAGGACTCGATCCCGAAGAGCTCGGAGTCTGTGGCTGTATGTTCAAACTCTGTCAATTGTTCTATATACTTGTCAAGGAAGCAATACCTGACACCCCCAAAGCTCACAGACTATGGCGCTGCCGCCTCCACCGACAAGGACCGCACCCTCGCCGCCTCTGCCCTCCGCGGTGACTGGGACGAAGGTACCATTTCTCCCCCATCCTACCTCCTCCTCCTCCTCCTCCTCCTCCTCCTCCTCCTCCTCATCACCACCACACACTAACCCACCTAGATCTCATCGCCGAACAACTCTCCCGCAACGCCACCTTCCTCGGCACCCCCGGCCTCGCTGCCGTCCGCTCCTCCACCATCATCGTCGTCGGCTGTGGTGGCGTCGGCTCCTGGGCCGCCACCATGCTCGTCCGCTCCGGCGTCGGCAAGATCCGCCTCATCGACTTCGACCAAGTCTCCCTCTCCTCCCTCAACCGCCACGCCGTGGCCACGCTCGCCGACGTCGGCACACCAAAGGTCATCGCGCTGAAAACACACCTGGCCGCCGTGGCACCATGGGTCGAGATCGATGCCCGGAACGAGCTGTGGACGCTGGCCGACGCAGAGACACTCCTGGAGGGCAATCCGACATGGGTCGTCGACGCCATCGACAACATCGCGACCAAGGTAGACCTCCTCGCCTACTGCCACTCACACGGCCTCAAAGTCATCTCCGCCATGGGCGCCGGCTGCAAATCCGACCCCTCGCGCATCCAAATCGGCGACATCTCCGAGTCCTCCGAGGACCCCCTCTCCCGCTCCACGCGCCGCCGCCTGCGGCAAAAGGGCATCACCACGGGCATCCCCACCGTGTACAGCACCGAGAAGCCCGGCCCCGGCAAGGCGTCGCTGCTGCCGCTGTCGGCCGAGGAGTTTGCAAGGGGCGGCGTGGACGAGCTGGCGCCGCTGCCCGAGTTCCGCGTGCGCATCCTGCCGGTGCTGGGGACGATGCCGGGCGTGTTTGGGCTGTGCGTGGCTAACCATGTCATTGCGAGCATTGCGGGGTACCCGCTGGAGTACAGCGTGGGGAAGGACCGCGGGAAGCTGTATGAGGAGATGATTGCGCAGCTGGCGGGGCAGGAGAGTAGGCTGCGCGGGAATGTGCCCGGGCTCAGGGTGCCGCTGAGGGAGGAGGATGCCGGGTATGTGGTGGAGGAGGTGTTTAAGGGCCGCAGCGTGGTGAGCGGGTATTATACCAGGCTTGTGCTGACGCGGTGGGAGGCGCTGCCGGAGAGGGAGGACGGCGGCGTGTGGGGGATGGAGGAGCACCGCATTGGTATTGACGGCGTCGTGGTCATGACGAAGGATGAGGCCAAGAAGCACGAGAAGGAGGTGCTGAAGGGCCGGAAGAGCGCCGTGGACGTGTGGGGGCCGGAGGTGGTTGCCCGCGTGGAGGAGCGCAGGAAGGAGGAGGCCGTGTATGCGAAGTACCGGTGATGCGGGAATGGGGGGGGGGGGGGGGGGGGTTCTATAGATGAGTTATGAGTGTATGTCTTTCCTTCTTCTTCAATCAAAAGTTTGTAGGTTTTTTTCTTCTTGTCTTTTTTTTTTGTCTCCTCTTCTTCCTCTTCTATGTATGTAGCCGCAGTCAGTGTCTGTATATATAGAACAGCACAGCATCTCTGTGAATATCAACCACACTCTCTCTCCCGGGCACTCTCCCCCGGGACCAAAACCCCACCCAGCGATCATTACCCCACTCACCAACTCTCACTCGGCCCCGCGTGCAGCCTCGGCACACAGCCCCCGGTTCGGTTTAGTGATCACGGGCCGGTCCCGGCCAGGGTTAGGGGTGTGTGTGAGCTCCGTCGAGCTACAAAAAGAGCTCCCGTCCGCCGGTGCCAGCAGCTGCACAGCCCGCGAAACAGCTGGAATCCCCGCCGCACCGCACCGCACCGCACCGCACCGCACCGCACCGCACCGCACCGCACCGCACCGCACAACAGCCACACCCGCACACACACACGCAAAATGGCACCACCACCGCTCATGTCGCCCGTCTGGGCGCCCAACATCTTCGGTAAGCAAACCACGCCCACCCCGCGCACTCCCGCGCCCGCCCGTCCACACACCCAGCCAGCTAGCTAGCTAACCATCACGCTCCACAGAAGGCAAAGTCGTCCTCTGCACCGGCGGCGCCGTAAGCTCTCCCCTCCACCCCCTCCCCCTCCCCCTCTCACTCCCTACCCACCAGCTAACACCCCCAGGGCGACATCTGCTCCGCGCAAGTCAGCGCGCTCGTCGCCCTCGGCGCCAACGCTACCATCATCGGCCGCAACCCCTCAAAGACCCACGCCCGCGCCGCCGAGATCGCGGCCCTGCGCGAGGGCGCAAAGTGTATCGGCATTGTCGTGGACGTGCGCGATGCTGCGGCGATGGAGCGGGCGGTGGAGCGTACGGTGGAAGAGTTGGGGGGTGTGGATTATGTTATGTATGCCCTTCCCCCCCTCTGCTCTCTACATATCCGAATCCTAGATGTTAATGGAGAAGGGTGAAGCTGCGGAGCCGCCGGCAACTTCCTCGCAACCACCACCAACCTCTCGGCCAACGCCTTCAAGGCCGTCATGGACATCGACGTGCTCGGCTCCTACAACACCGTCAAGGCCGCGCTGCCGGAGCTGAAGCGCACACGGGGCAAGATCCTCTTCGTGAGCGCGACACTGCACTACACCGGCCTGCCCTACCAGGCGCATGTCAGCGCCGCAAAGGCGGCCATCGATGCGCTCAGCCAGGTGCTGTGTGTGGAGCTTGGCCCGTGGGGGGTGACTTCGAACGTATACTCTCTCTCTCTCTCTTTCTCTCTCTCTCTATACTATCATTGACCCAGGGCTGACGCAATGGAATGGGGGGTGTAGTGTATAGCCCCCGGCCCCATCGCCAACACGGCCGGCATGTCACGCCTCAGCCGGCCGGACGCCCTCGCGGCGGCGGCGCGCGCGATACCGCTGCAGCGCTTCGGCACGGTCAGCGAGATCGCGGACGCAACGGTGTACCTGCTGAGCCCCGCGGGGGACTTTGTCAGCGGGACGACGCTGGTTGTTGATGGTGGGGCGTGGCACCGGCAGGGCGCGGCGGGGAGCGGGGTGGAGTATCCGGAGAGCGTGCTTACTGAGGGCGTGGTGGAGGGGGTGGAGGGGAGGGGGGGGGAGAGGGGGAGTAAGTTGTAGGTGTAGGTGTAGGTTATATGTGAATTGGTCATGTGAATTGGTTATAAGGTTTTTGGTTATGTGTTTTTTGAATTAGTCATGTGGATTGTCTATGTGAATTGCCCATGTGAATTGCGGGTATGGGTTTGGAGCTGTGTATTGGACGAGGAGCACCCGGGCATTCCTGTAGCTGTATATTCCTGCAGCTACATGTGTATTCTGGTCAGTGAGGACTATTATGCTACAACATGCTGCTTCTTGTCCCCCAGTTCTTAAAAGCGCAGGTATCGTCTTCAAAAGAACGCACAAACCCGCGATTGGATGGTTGACCCCAGCTTCTGCAGCCACCGCCTCACCTAACCCTGGCCTCTCGAGCATTTCTCTCCTGCTTCAAAACACCAGTCAATCCGGGAATAGAACACTCATTTCTAGAATAATTTGTTCTGTTTTTTCTCCATTGAAGAGCTGCTCACATCTACACAGACCCGCTGTGGGTGGGCTGGCTGGACTGGACTGGCTGGACTGGGCTGGACTGGCTTGTGGCTTGTAATGACATTCGCACACCGGGTGATAGTTGGTGATCCTATCACATTCACAATTTACAGCTCTCTCAATCATTGCAACGCCAGCTCAACCGCCCATGAAACTCGTCAAGTTGACCACTGTAGACCATTGATTTTTGCAATGAGTTACGAACTGATCAAGAAAAAAAAAAAAAAGAAAAAAAAAAAGACCAAGCACTATCATCTCTCATACCAACTCCTGTGAAACCAGATTCAGATCAACCGCCCTATTTCCCTCAACTTTTTTTCTTCCTCCAGACATATTCTTTGGAAGCAGACCGACTAAACCCAACTACCCGAATATTATAGCAAGTAGAAAAAATCCTGCGAAAAAAAAAGCGAAAATCAAACCCCTGCCCCACATTCGCCGGAAAACAAGAAAGGAAAAAAAAATAAAATTATAGCCCTAACCCCCACTTTTTTCAAAAGCACCTAAACAACAGAGTAAAGAGAAACGACAGTATTGGTTTTTAAAAACAAAAAGACCTCTAGCAAACCGTTCCCCCAAACTCTTCTATTTTCAGCCGTTAAATTTTCACATTTCAAGTACCTCTCAACAAGCAGTGGGCAAGGTCTCGGCAACGCCATTCTCCTTGGTCTCTTCATTCTTGGCCTCCTGTGCCCCTTCCTGCTGTTGCTGCTGTTGCTTCTTGGCCTCTTCGATCTCTCCCTCAATCTTCGGGTTATCGATGGCGACCTTGACAGCAATCTCTCTGTCGCTGACCGTGCGGCCGTTCATTTCGCTGACAGCCTTCTTCTGCATCTCCTCAGAGGCAAGGGTGACGAAACCGAAACCACGGCCCTTGCGGGGTTCTCCGCGTAACTGGAGCTTGCGAACCATGTAGCGGGGGATAGGACGGAGGGCAATCTTGGCACTCTCCGGTTTATAATCCGCAAAGAGCTTTAAGAGCTAGAATTGGGACACAGAGTTAGCATGTCATCCGAATATTCAATCTGTGATCAATGGCAACTAACCTCGTCCTCGGTCAGCTCATACGGCAGGTTAGCAACCATGACCTTGGTAGCGCTGGGGACGCCGTTCTCGGGGGGGCCTCTCCTTCTGGCCCTGAAGTTGGAATTGTCTCCCTCAGCGGAAGGCCCAGTGGGGGCAGCGGGTGCATCACCAGAGCTAGGAGCCTCAGTGGTGTTTGTAGCCTCGGTGAGAGGGAGCACATTGGCAGTGGGGGTGGTCCCCTCGTCTGCAGTAGCCTCACCGCTGGCATTGTAGTTGGCACGGTTACCACCGCGAGCCTGTAATCCCGGTTAGTAAACGGACCGATGATAGGTTGGAGGATTGAGTACTAACCCTGCCGCCACGTCCTCTTCCCCTGCGAGAGTTCCTACCACCTCTCCTCCCACCCTGCTGCTGGTGCTCACCATCCTCCTGCTGTTGCTCGTCCGAGTGGTCGTTGTAGGCCTCCCTCCTGGAAGAGGCAGTTCCAGGCTTCCTGGCAACCTGGACACTGACCTTCCTCTCTGCAACCTCCTTTCCGCTGAGCTCCGCGATAGCACGCTCGGCTTCCTCCTTTGTCGTGAGATCGACAAAGGCATAGCCGACTGGACGGCCGTTGCGTGGGTTTGTCGGGATAGATGATGATTCACTTGAGGTATGTCAGTTTATATTGAATCAAAATTCATATCATAACGGGTATGCATGCTTCCGGACAAGGGTAGCAGGGGGAGGTGTCAAAAAAAAAAAAAAAAAAAAAAAAAGCACAAACAGCTCGAGGGAACTTACATTTCAAACCCAGAGAAGAAAGCCTTCAGCTCTTCATCAGTGGTAGCGTAAGACAAGTTTCCGATGTAAAGTCTCCTGCCTTCAGCAGCAGAGGCAGCGTGAGCAGCATCGGCAGCACTGGTCTCATCAGAGATAGTGGTGTTGGCAAGTGCATCAGTCATGTTCTCGACAGCAGTGGGAGCAGTAGCATCAACCGGGGCAGCAGCAACTGCTTCAGTGTGCTCAGCGGCGTTGGTGGACATTTTTAGATTCTTTTTTTGGTTGCTTTGTGGGCTTGATTTATCAAGAAAGAAAGGTTGATGGAGAGGTCCTTAAAAGAAGGGTTCTGCCAGAGAAAAACTGATTGAGGGGTTGGTTGGAAGAAAGTTCGTTACGACGTGGGGGATGGAACAGGGACTGTTACTGTAATTGACGGGAGAGTTGAAGACGCACTTCAAAGGAGGTTGGGAGAGGAAGGGGGGAAGGGAGAGCCTTGTTGGATTGACTGATCACTTGGTGGGGGAATTCTTGAATTGATGACGGGGAGAGAAAAAGAGAAAGAAGAGGAGAGGGGAGAGAGCCTTTCGTTGTTAAAGGGGCCCTTTGCAGACACTGATGTTGCCAAGACACGTTAACGCCACTATGAGAGAGTCAAAGAACTCCCACAAGACATGTACATAATGTAGGCATCATCGTCATCATCATTCATCACCCGGCACAGTAAATTATCCCCTGAGTGCTACAGAAAATCTACACGATTATATTGGTACTCTACGCACAGCACCTGGATGCAGCCCGACTCGATATAAAGCTGTAGAACATGTCTAAGGTACCTATTCCGCTCCAGAGTAGGTAGGTAGAGTAGTAGGCAAGGTCCATAAGGAAGCCTTTCGGGAATGTCTCTGCGGAGCCAGCCAGTAATACCCGCCGCCTCTTTCCCACCCACCCACCCGTGTGAATGAAAATATGAATCTGAACCTGAATAGGCAGAGCATTCGAATGTGAGTGCGAGTGTGGGTGTGAAGTGTGAAGTGTGCTTTGCGCATCTGTGCTACCCATTCTACCGAGTACAGATCTGGGCTCTGCACAATCATAAGGCCGTTCGTTACTTTGAGTAGAGTGCCTACTCTACACAGGTACTCTAGTACTACATTCTCTTCAGTGAGCTCTCACGCGATTTAGACACAAGAACTGAGACTGCCCACCATCTTGGTGAATGGGTAGATATCGTAGAGTAGAGTCCTCTGCGCTTCATGCACCTGGTGAACAGGTTGCTGGATCGACCAACGTGAATAGGAAAAATTCCAGCACCGGCTCTACCGCCGTATTCTATTTCTGCGATGAGGCTAAACTCTTAATACACATTCTGCATGTGCCTGTTCTACGCCTGTTCTACTCTATTCCATGATATGTGGCCTCAGCTCAGCAACATTCAACGTGCCTCCCCGTTGCGGTGCTTGCCGCCTGCACCAATCCTAAACTTGACTAACCACATGTGTGTCGAGCGGAGTGCTCTAGAGTAGCATCTCACAGCTCAGCATCCCCCGGAACTTCGGATCTACCACTGGGAATGTCTATCGTGCAGCGGTTCTAGATATCTACATGTATTCTTTATCTGTTGACCTTCCTCATCGTTCCTGGTCGATCTTTATCGATTTACTACTCCACAAGATTGTTTAATTTACGCTGTGGGGAGCCTTTGGTTTGCTTTTGGAAGCCTGACACAGCTGTGTCACCTTAAACGAATGCTTATTTTAACCTCCCCCGTTCCATCCATTTAATTACATGGACCTTTTAGAAGCCAAAGAATAACCACAAACCAAACCGACCCATGATCGCCTCTGAACCTGGAGTTTGATGGAATCTTGCTCGTTCGATCCCAGGTATATGGAAGGATAAGCTAGGGTGAAGAGCACCACGCGGAGGTTGCTTCGTGGCCCCGATAAATCTCTGCACCTAAGCCTCAAGAGGTGCACAATCCTTCTCGTCAAGGCAGGCGAATATAAAATTTATCTTGAAAAGCGGCAATTGATCCCGGACAATGCTCACCCCCTCCATCGATTGATGACTGCCTGAGTCAAACATGGCCGGTTTACCAATCCTGAACAAAAAATGTTGCCCCAGGACGATAAGGGGATATCGCTATCAGATCTCATCAACCTGCCATCGCTAATGGGGATGGCATGCCTAGTTAAAGTGCATTTGAAGTTTCTTTTCCCTTGAAATCTTTTTTCACCTTCGAAAATGCGATATATAATGCGGCTTAGTATGAATTTGGGCCAAAGGCTGGCGTGGTCTGCCTAGCTCAAGTGATGTTATGCACCTCCGGCTTGGTTCTAAACCTTCGTTCAGAAAAGCTGCGGAATACATGTAGATACCCCACATGTAATATCCAGTGAGGATATTTAAGGCCTCTCATGAATCACCATGTATCACTCGATCATTTACCTGTAACTATTTGTTATTTAGCAGGAGCAAATCTTACTACTAGAAATCGGGCAAGAGGCAAGGAGTTCTGCGGAATTCTGATTGCTTTGAAGCCATCTATGGGTCACAAAAACAATGGGAACGCTTACATTTAGACTTGCGAACCGTATTTGTTTACTGGAAAACTCGCTAGTTTTATTTGTAATTCCGTACCATTACATTATTAGGCCCTGTAGAATTGGTAGGTCTTGTTCTATCTATCAGAGTCAGGCATTTCGTCTCTTTTTAAGGCCGATAATGGGGGGCCATGAATAATTCCTTTTTAAACAACACATACTAAGGCGTTCAGTAAAAGGTCGTGAAACAGGCGTTGCGACGGGGCGATTCTCCACGATCTTTTACTGAACGCCTAAATAAAATTTTATGAAATATCTTTGAGGGGAATTTCATCCTTGAAAAATATCTTTTGTGCATGACATTTGGGGTTCAGGTCGCCACTTCTATATAGCTCCAACAATGGGCGCCTGAAGCCCAGGGATCATAACTCCTGGTTATTGCATCATTCACATGTCAGGCAGGATGTGAGACCAAAAAATCTTTCTGGTCTCTATGCATTCAATCAGATCTTTCCAATCAAGACAGATCATCTAAAAGTCGAGTCGCGTATTACCTCTGCCAGTCACACTTCTAGATATACCTCTATGCACTTGTGCCCTGAAAGTTTGGGATTGGGATTTTAACAATCCAAACACAGCCAAAAAAAAAAAAAAAAAAAACCCGTCAGGTGCCTTGTCTGCTCTCTTATTTTATCACTACATGTATTTACTCGCGAATAGTAGGTTCTGGCCCAGATGGTTCTCCGTTTGACAAAACTGTTACTTCATCACAACCTCTATTTATTCTCATGCGTTTAAGAAGTTATCACTAGGCCTCTTATGGCCAGGAAGTATCAAGTAAATCTATTCCGGAGTGAAAGTGCCTCTATCTTCACTCCCGAAAAGAGACTTGGTGTAACAGTACTATACAAAGCTTTACCAAAACAAACGGGTTAGAGAAAAATAAGAGATGTTTTGAAGAAACCAACGAGCACCCATAAAAACGCCCTTTCAGAATCCCACGAGCGACACGCCTACCGAGTAAGAGCCGGTGACTGACTCCTTTGAACTAATTGGCAATCCCATTCATACTAAAGGCCCGGGTTAGTCTATTTACTCTTCCCCGATACGTTTATTGGGAACTTACGACTCTCCCCTGTTCATCGCCTGAGTACACTGCTTGGGGCATTGGAAGGATTGCCGTGATACCCGCCGATACCTGTATTTCACTGTGGAATTGATTGACATGGTGCAACATTTTCACCAAAATCAGTACAAACCGCCCGTTTCTGATTGACTTCTGCCAGATCTGAACATAGCTGTTAGCATGCAGTGCTAAGAATAAGAGAATATTCTCTCACATTAACAATACCGCGCCTATGGCCTGTAAAGAGTAGTTCGCGCTCCAGCCATTCGTTCCCCAGCCCTTCGTAGAAAGCACAGCATAATATCTGGTCGTCCGGCCCATCACAGATACTTTGCGTCAAGATATGATCGCCATTCAGAGAGTAGATGCTAACATCTGGATTTTTGCAAAGAACGATGTTCCCCGTGACATCATTGACACTTACACACTATCATTTAATTGAATATGAATCAGTCACAATAAAGCTTTAAGTGTGAACAAGTAGGGATGAAGTTGTGCTCACCTTCACAGGAGAATCTGCTTTCAGTTGCCTCACAAAACGAAGCCTATTCAGGTCCCATACAAGAACTGTGTTATCGTTGGAAGCGCTGACAAGAACACTGAACGATCTCGAAACCGCCATGACAATTACAGGATTGACGTGGCCAAAGAGACAGGCCTTTGGTTGAAGCTCAACCGACTTCGATGTTGCCTGAACCTGCCAAACTGAGATAGTGCCATCGGTTCCTGCTGTTACCAAGGTTCTGTGGTCGGCAAAAACAGCAGTTGAAATTTGTCCTTGATGCAGATGCTCATGATGTCCACAAAGCTTTTTGCTCTCAAAGTGATAAAATCTAACACTTGCATCTACGAAGCCCCACTCCATGTATTTATCGTATGATGGTGGCATATTCAATCGGAAGGCGTTTGAACAGAATACACGCTCATACTTTGACGAATGTACCAAGGCTTGAACTCGTTCATGGCTATCAAGCAATGGGAAGGGTAGTCGAATCAAAGACTCCGCGCCGACATCCAATCTCGCATACTTATGTGTGATTTCCTCTCTTATAGGGTGCGTCCTTGTAAAGACTTGGTGAGGGGTCTGTCCAAAATTATGAATGATGCCGATAGTCGCCAACCTCTCCACAGGGTCTTGTATATTGTCCAGGTCGATAGCGCCATGATATGATAGATGGTGGAATACGTTTGTCGCCTCAATTGCTGCCTCTCCACGTTGTTTAAATCCAAACACTAGGTCGATCCACTCGTGGAGGTGCTGACTAACATATGGACTCTCCAACGCCTCACGATGTTTTGCGATAAAAATCTTCGGATCACCCTTTGCCCATGGTGGGAGAACGACAGAGTCGATTGCTTCGTCTGAACCTTGCTTCATGCCAAAATTGTATGAATTTGAATTGACCAAAAATTCCGGTAGGAAAAAGAACTCAGGAATAAGTTCCCGAACATCAGTCATATTGTCCTTCGAAGCTGAAGTCCAGGCTTTCTCAATCGAATAGAAAAGTCGATCCGCGTGATCAAACTGCCCTCCTTGAAGAAGCAAATATGACTGAACAAAAGGTTGGAGACGGATAAGGTATGAGCAAACGATCATGGCTGATGAAAAATGTGTTCCGTAATGGAAAGGAGGCGATTGTCTATCTCCAATTTCTTCAAAAGACCGATATCTCTCCCGAAACTCCCGCTGTCTTTCAGGAGTTTGCGCCCCCATTGGTTTCGAAAAGTCTCGAAAGGTTCTCGGATTTGATAGATCAAGTTCTTCACTTGTGTAGTCTGCCAAAACCCATGGGAAAACAGGATATTGTGTGAGGTCGTTGAAGGTCCTTCCGGCCATTGTGTTGACAAGCATCAAGTAGTGAAAGTTTGATATCTCGCCCTTCATCCATTTTCTTGTCGCGGGGTTCGGAGAGCTTGAAGAAAACACATTGACAAGCTTTGAGCCAAAATTAGATGTATTATCTTGAGTTTTGAGTGAGTCTATCCTCCATGCTTCTCCTGTGTAAAGTGTTGCTGAACCCCCATTGACATTTGTAGCCTTTGACAAAAGCTTCGAATGCAAGAAGTCCCGGTCTTTAACGGACATAGTGGTCAAAAGATAACTCCTGCCATCAGTAAAGAAGAGCTCCAATGCCACATCTCTGAAGAGAAATCGTCTTTTGCTGATACTGATCAAATCCTCAAATGGCCAGTGTCTTGTCTCGTGGTCACTGTTAACATTCAAAGGCTTTGGATCGTCTGCTTCCCTCCCCGAAATCATCTGAAGGTACTGATCTCTCTCATCTTTAGGTGCCTGCCAAACGTTTACAATCTCGCCGTCGGATCTTTGAAAAAAGTTGTCAATGAGGTAGAGACAGTTCTTTCCAAGAATAAGAAGGCCCTCCACAGCCTCCAGTCCCACGAGCTTAGAAACATTGTGAACATATTCCACAACATCACCGTGCTGAATGGTCCTCATAACTTTCCTGTTCTTGTCCTCCCATCCCTCGTCGTCCTCTCTCGGATCATCCACTAGTTCGTAATCCTCATCAAAGTCATCCTCTCCGCCATCACGAGCGGGGTTGTGATGTGATTGATCCATGGAATCCGTTTCCCTGGTAGTGATGATACTAATTTCGTCATCTTCCACGGATAGTGCATGATTCCTACTCCGACTAGCACTTTCAGATAAACCCCCAGTAAGCCTTCTCTTTGGTTGATAATTATGCAGGTGGGCCCTCGAATCCGGTAACATACGCATTCGCATGCGATTCCTTCCTTCAGTTAAATCAAGCCTCCATTTGGTTTCTTGTCCATCATCAAGGAGTCCGCAGGGCCTCATAAGCTCTGCCTCAAGTTTAGAGTACATAGAAACGACATAACTGAGACTATCCTGTTGGTCTTGGGTTGCTCTTTGGAATTTGAGGTGTTCCGAAGCGTATATGTTGGCCATCCAATGAGTTGAGGCGGATTCATGACGACCATAAACGTCCTCGTTATTCATATCTTCCAAAATCCATTGCTTAAGTCTCTCCTTACGCTTGGTGACCCGATTCTTAGCGGTTTCTTCGGTTTTTTTATTCTCGTCTGCAACAAAAGCTTCCCACGCCTTTGAAAGAATACCGCAAAAGAAGGCATCGAGTTCCTCTCGATGATCATCGATCCAGTACAACCATGTATCACTGTCCTAGAAACTATCAGTATTGGTATTTAATAGGACACATATTTCTTACTAGCTCCATCAATTTCTTAAAACCTGATGATAGCTGCTTATGGTCCACACTCTTGGCTTGGCTCAACAATGCTGAGGTTTCCGTCGGTTTCTGCACCAGAACAATTCGCAACATCTATAATTAAGGTTAGATCAGTCGAACCTAGGGAAGAGCTTATTGAATACACCTACATTAACAGCTGCAAGTTTGATGTCCTCTCTCTGACCAATAAGCCGCGTGTACAGCAAATAGCATATAAGCCGTGTAAAGTCTCCATCTGTATTATCAGGGGAAAATATGACTGCTTGCCAGTACATAATCTTTCCAAGAAAGTCGACCACTAGCTTTGCATCCGACTTTGGGTCCTCAAGCTCCGAAAGTCTAAAAAGAACCAGTCGTGAAACAACAGTTCTCAGGCTTGTTACCGTTTGGCTGCAGAGACGAACACTCTTTTTCTTTGCTATTTCAGGCCGCTGAAGATATTCCAAGACGGTTCCGACGAAATCCAGTAATGCTTCAGCGCCGTTCAAAAACCAACCTTCATAAACACAATCTGTAACATGGAGTGTGAATCTTCCAATATTCGTCAAGACCCTAGGCTCACACAGCAGCGCCATGTTGAAGCCTAGGGAATTTGTTAGGTGGTTCAGGGTATTTCTAAGCAAATAGGTTTCGAAGTAGATTTGATGCTCCTGAAACCCTGGTGGAATCTTTGTGTTCAATCCAAATCCAGAAAACTCCCTTCTTTCCAAAACTAAGTCTGCAAACACCCCCATAACAAGTTCCAATAAACTCTCCACAACTGAGTTCGTAACTGCCAATGATGTCGCTACCCTTCCATTGACATTCAGCCCTGTGCCGATAGCTGGTGATAAGCGTGCCATGGATGGTGAAAATGCAGTGGGCTCCGAGGTCACCAAAATAAAGCTGGATCCTCTCCTCAATCTTTCAGATCTGGGTGCAGTTGGGCTGGGGGGCTCATCCACTGTCATTGTCCTAACTATCGGGGGTGCAGTATTCGATGATAGGGGTCTAATCACAACATCTCCACCGTCGAATGTCAATGCTGAGTCTTTCGAATTGAGCTCTGTTTCAGCGCTAACATGATCTGAACTGCAAACAACCGGGAAAAGTATTCCGAATAACTCTTGTACATATGTGGAGTTGGCGCAATACTCGCGGAAACCTGGACAAGTTGAGTGTAGGTTCGAAAGGAATTGTATGATGGTTTGAAGCATCTTGGCTAACTCTCCCAGTCGCTTTTCTGATGTTTTTGGAGCTTGAATTAATAATTATACTGTTAGTAGATATACATACTATTACAGACTTAATGGAGCATCCTTACCTTGCGGAGAAGATAGAGAGATTGACCTTCGTCTCACTGGTGGAGTGGGTAGTAATTTACCATCCTCCTCCTTGCTCAGGTCATTTGCCTCTTTATTATTGTCTTCACCTTGATCAGAGACGATAGTTCCCACCCCAGCTCTCAACATTCCCGCGATGACTGGTAAAACCTCTGGATAGATCACCCTCGCCTTTCCTCCATCCGAAAACAATTCTAAAAGGCCATACAAATCTAGAGGCCTCGAAATATCGACTTTGGCTACATCCTTTCCGAATAGAATCGAAAAACAGATCGGCCAGAGAGGCGCTACGTTCCACCACCTTTTCAATCTATTTCGCATAATAACAAAGCCACCGGTTTTTGAGGCGAACTTTGTAACATAGCTACCTCCATGAACGACTAGAAGTCTTGCCAAGATTTTCGCTCCCAGAAGTACAACCTTGGGTTCGTTCTCTGCCAATAGGTAGAGCAACCACTAGGAGCCAGTAATATTAGTAAAGAAGCAATGGTGTTGTTTCTAGCTGAATACGACACAGTATGGCTGCAGAAAGATCTGACCACCCTCTTGAAATCAGGATGCCTGAAGCTTCCTGATGATTATGAGGGTCATGTTCCACAAGAAGATGAACCAAAAAGAAAGCACAGGTTAGGGGTAGAGTTTATACCTTATTGGTAACAGTCCTCGCAAATTTCTTCAGGTTTCCTGTGCTGTTTCCATCTTCAAAAAGTAGGTCTTGATACATCTCGAGAACCATAACACCAATCTGCTGTCGGGTGAATCCATCCACACTCAAGTCATTGACAACCTTGACGGGGGGCGCTAAGTTGACACTTCCGGAAGGACTCGATCCAAGTGTACCTTGCCGTCGAAGCTGTACGTTACTTTTCTTAACTTTCAACGGGCGGGCTGGATTGTTCTTGTGGAGAGAATAGGTTATAAACAAAGCCAAAGATCGGAGAACATCCGCAGACATATTAGTTTTTATGAGTGCCTTAAATGCGGTCATAAAGTCAGGAAGAATTTCGCGGGAAAACATTTCACCCTTCAGTGCAAACATAAGTTTCTTGACAATCCCTTGATAGAGTCATGATTCCGGATCAGCTTCTACCGTGTCACAAAAGGAATTCAATTTCGACGAAAGTAAAGAATGACTTACTCATACGGAATAGCCTCTTTGAATTGAAATGGTGGTACTTGCTCCCGTGACAGAAGGTTACAAACTGGGAAAAATACTCCCTTTGCGTTTCGATATCTGCTTTCCTCCACATGTCAAAATCAACCAGTAGTATTCTATACGCAAGTGGGTTGACAATGAAGCTTTCCTCTGGAGCTTCACGTCGGAACCCAACAAAGTCCAAAACAATGTGCAGCAATTCTTTCCCCACTACACCTTTCCCTTCTTTATTCCGTATAAGATTTCCAAGAATCGCGAAGCCATTATCTCTTTCCATAGCTTCACTATTTCTCCAGGACGCTTTGGTGATTTCAAATAATATCTCAACCGCTCTGCACACCTGCTTTGGCGTCACCGCAACCTCAACCATTTTCAACCCAACTGCTGCTGCACCCCCAATTCTCCATGATGCATCATCTAGTGATTGGGGCACAACAACAATGGGCTCTCCTGTCATTATTGCAACTCCATAAGAAAGACACAATGCTTCGTTAATCGAGGGCACTGCACCATTTATAGCCACCGCCCCAGCACGGGTTAAGGATTGAAGGTTCTTCGCGGCCTCCCTAGAGAGTGATTTTACAAGTTGGGATTCATCGATGTTATTGTGATCCTTGTCATCGAGAACTTGAGACGCAGATATGTTCAGTAATACCTTGACTTCGGGTAGGATAGCTGATGCCCTGTGTCTTATTGCGGAGATAATATCGCTTTTTTCTTCCTTCCCAGGATGCATGAGTTCATTTCTCATATTTAACGCAGCAGATGCTTCGTATGTCTGAAAAGATCCCAATGTATCCTGAAAGTTTCCATAATACCGAGGACCAAGTCGGAAGTGTACAGCAATCAAGTCATCAGAGAGGGTATCCTCAAACAAATGAGCTGTTCCCAAGCTCCATTTTGAGGAAACAACACCTCTTCCAATACGAGGGGATAAATCCGAGGGTGTGCCGAGGAAGACCTGAACAGGTGTTGTCGAGGTGGGTGGAGGTTGGGGGTATGTAGCTTTGACTTGTTCTACAAATTCACCATCTATATAAAGCGCGGCCTTAGATGCTGAAGTTGCTCGGCCGCGTCGGTGAACAAGTGAGATATGATACCATCTCTTTGACTCAAAAACCGTCGATTTAAACCTAACGCTTGCCCTTGGGGACGCAACAGAAGTCTGCAAAATAAATTTCCGAGTGTCCTGCTCTATATACGCCAGAACGAAACAGCGCTGGGTTGAATCGAAAACCCCAAAGAGTGTTGTGTGCATGGAAGAGTCAAAAGCATCGATACACACCCACGCAGAAAATGTATATCCATTCGTTTGGGTAGGGGGGAATGTTCGACCGAGTGAAGAAAGCTCCATGGATGCAAACCCATGAAGCGAAAGATCAAACTGGATATGTGGTGGCCCACGAGAAGATTTTATCGCTTCTAGAAGAAAATTAGAAACAGGTTCTTCACTCATTGCTTTCCGGTAGAGAAATTTGGCATCGCTTAAATGGTTGATCCCGAGTTGAATCAAATGCTGCGCGAACTCTACCAGAACAATACGCTCGTCGCAAGGGATCGATTTATCCCACAATCTGGGGAGTATAGAAGTCAATATACCAGTCGAGTGCATAGCGACTAAGTTAAACTTGCTACAGCAAGCAATGGAAAGCAATGCCTGCAAAACCACAACGGTGGTTATAGTCGAATCCTCCGTTTGAGCCATGGCCATTTGGAAGCTGAGAACCAAAGGAATTATCTCCGCATTCATCAAGATATCTTTACTCCCAAAGTTTCCTTTCACCTTTGCTCTGGCAGATTCCATTTCACTCCCATGCTTGTCTGTGGCTTTGCCCGTAATCTTGCCTGTTTTCTTGGTATCCCCCATACCTCTTTTCACGGAAACCACCAAACTCGATAACGTTGAATCGTCCATCCCAAACGCTAGAAGCAGCCCAAACAAATGATCTGGGGCTTCAGTTGGTAGTCCAGTTGCTGCGAGGCCTTGCTCTAGGCTATCCCACCCAATCTTTCTCGCAAAAAATCGCTTGTTACCTGGATGATCCAACAAGGCTTCAGAAATCACACCGAAAAGACATTTGATCAACTCTATAAAATGGTTTTTTTCTTCGTCTGTTCGGTTTGTAGAGTTGTAAAAACCGGAGCACGAATGAAGTGCAGATATAAGATAGTTGAAACCTCCCAAGGCTCTAAAGGTATCTATAGCGGGGTTGAGTCCAGGTCAGTGCGCTGGAATGGCGGGGCGTTATATACTGAGAATGATGGAGAAAACAAGCCTTTAGCTTCTGGAGAGTCCACAAGTATACGCTTTATCAGAGAAAGCCATTGCAACCGCACAAGTATGTCTGGGTCCGAGGCAGAGGCCTCGAGCGAATCGAGGAGAGGCTTGATTTCGGCAATGAGCCTGGGTTTTGTGGACGCAGCAGAAGAGACTCGACGCCGTGCATAGGAGGAAGTCTGTGTAGAAGAAGAAGCCATATTTGAAGCCAGAGAAGTTTTAAGTGTAGAATTATATTCAGGGCATGAGGTCTAACTGCAATGTTAAGGATTCTGTGATGGAAAAGACTAAACACACCGGGAAAGAACAGCGACAAGATGATGAATTGAAACGAAGCGAATATTCGATGCAGTGCAAGAAGGAATGTATTTGCTTGACGATGATTCAAAGTGGAAAAGAGATATGTGCGGGTACAAGGTGGTTTTGGTGGGGGATGGGGGGATCGCGATGTTGTTGAAGCTAGGTAGATGATGCGGTGTTGCTGAGCCTCCGCTACACCAAAAGCCATCATCTCGTTTCGTTTCGTTTACAGCTAGGGCTTACTCGAAGCATTCCTCAACAAAGTAACACACAACCTCCCCCCCCCCACCTTGCTCGCTTCGTAGCATCGACTTCATTTACAGAGCCGAGAACGAGGCTATATCTACATAATGTACCAATACGGCGGCTCCCCTCATTGTAGTTGAGCATATGAAGCGGCCTATAACAGGAATACGAGTACATGTAGGTACTTGGTGTCGGTATGTCTCTAGATACTTGTACTCATGTTTACCGTTTCAGGCTTCAGGGTTTAGTGTGACAGGCCGCTCGCTCGCGTCATTCGAACGCTCCGGTTATTAACAACGTAGAGCAGAAGTATCTATGATACATCGGGTACATCTCGGAACTGTTAGAGTACCTACATGACTCCACGTACATGTAGGTAGGTACATGTATTCAAAGGACTGTGAGGACATGCCGAATGGGTCAAATGGCCCAAATTCACAGTATTTCAAAAACGCGTCGGGGCGTTGCAGCTACAGCAAATAGCGCATTATTATGTCCACATAGAAAGGTAGAGTAGATAGGCAGATAGGCAGTAAGATAACACTATCAACACACACGCTTAGACTGCACGGAGGAGCCGGGTTCTTGTCTCCGTAAGTTAAATGGAAGATCTCACGGGGTTGATAGCCACCACAGGGGTGCGAGTGAGAGACATGATGACTATGCAAGTCCGAGACGAGTCGCAATGCTTGGCGCCAATGAGCCTGTCGTCGCCAGCCCCCGGAGCAGCGCATCCAAAGCTCTTTATCTTCCCCCAGATCCCACTTCCTCTCTCCTCTTCCTCCCATTCCTCTTCACCTCACTACCACTGACCTTCCACACATCTACATATCCCCTATCCATTTTATACCAGAACCCACTCTTTCCAAACACAACTCATTGCCCATCATGAAGCTCTCCGCCAACTTCGCTGTTCTCCTTGCTTCCATTTCTGTCACTATCGCTTCCCCAATCTACGATGCTACGGTTGTGAACAAGGACTCTGCTCCACTATTGTCCTCTGCTTCGGCAGCCGACCATGAGATCCCCAACAACTACATTGTTGTTTTCAAGAAGGATGTCGGTGATGAGGTCGCCAGCGCCCACCACAGCTGGGTGGCTGACATCCATGAGGCATCTGTCGCTTCGCTCAGGAAGCGAAGTCAGGTTCCCCTCATGGAGCACTCCAATAATGTTGATGTTCTTGATGTTGATTCCTTGACTGGATTGAAGCACACCTACAACATTTCTGGGGGTCTTACTGGATACTCTGGTGCCTTCGACGACTCTGTTCTCGAGGAGATCCGAAAACACCCTGCTGTAAGCTCCCATCTCCTTTCTCCTCATTGCCCCGGTTACCCCGGAGCTTGTCTAGCGGGTGTGTCATACGTTCAACCGGAACGCGTGCACGTGATCGCATCGCTTAGCGCCGGGTCGCCCCCACACATTTACAATCCGGCTAACGTTTTATATCTCTAGGTCGCCTATGTTGAGAAGGATTCCATGGTCTATGCTCTCGAGGAGGATACCCCTGCGACAGAGCACGGCGCCCCCTGGGGTCTAGCCCGTATTTCCCACCAGAAGGCCCTAGACTTTGGTACATTCAACAAGTACATCCATCAGGCTAATGGTGGTGAGGGTGTTGACGTTTACGTCATTGACACCGGTACCAACGTTGAGCACGTTGATTTTGAGGGTCGTGCCCACTGGGGAAAGACCATCCCTAACGGTGACTCCGATCAGGATGGCAACGGCCATGGTACTCACTGCTCTGGTACCGTCGGTGGAAAGAAGTACGGTGTTGCTAAGAAAGCCACTATCTACGCCGTCAAGGTTCTTCGTTCTAACGGGTCTGGCACGATGTCCGATGTTGTAAAGGGTGTTGAATGGGCCGCTGAGGCTCACTTGAAGAAAGTCTCGTCTTCCAAGAAGGACAAGAACTTCAAGGGCTCCGCAGCCAACATGTCTCTCGGTGGAGGAAAGTCCCCTGCCCTTGACCAGGCTGTCAATGGCGCTGTTGGCCTCGGCTTGAACTTTGCTGTTGCCGCTGGAAACGACAACGCTGATGCCTGTGACTACTCTCCTGCTGCCGCCGCAAAGGCTGTCACCGTTGGTGCCTCTACCCTTGGCGACGAGCGGGCTTACTTCTCCAACTACGGAAAGTGCGTTGACATCTTCGCCCCTGGTTTGAACATCCAGTCTACCTGGATTGGAAGCAAGACTGCTGTCAACACCATTTCTGGTACCTCAATGGCCTCACCCCACATTGCCGGTCTCTTGGCCTACTTCCTTTCTCTCCAGCCCAAGTCAGGCTCAGGATACTCTGTTGAGAGCCTTTCACCAGCTGAGCTCAAGAAGAAGATGATCGCAATTGCTTCTGAAGGTCTTCTCTCTGGTATTCCCAGCGACACCCCTAACGTAAGTTTTGACATCCGACTTATTATTTGAACCATAAACTGACATGACTCTTAGCTTCTCGCCTGGAACGGTGGTGGATCTGGAAACCTCTCTGAGATCTTTGACGGTGAGGGGTATCGCCAGGGTTCAACTTCCAAGCCCTCTAGAATCGTCGAGGATGTCTCAGACATCACCAGTGAGGTTCTCTCTGGAGCTGAGGCGTTCTTGGAGGAATTCGAGGACAAGATACTTGAGGATGTCAGGTCCGCATTCGCGAAGGCTAAGAAGGCTCTTGGCCACAACGCTTAAGCGGCGGTAATTCTTTGAGATTTCGTTTCTTAGAATGTTTATCTCTGCTTTTTTTCATGTTACCAGTCTGCTAGTAAAGTAAAGCTGTTGGTTAGGCAATGCGGTTATTTTCGTTGGGGTTTCTTTCATCGTTTTGTTACAATTTTATTCAGGTAATGCGGGATGGTTTGGTACTGTACTTTTTTTTTGATGCATTCTGTTCTGTTTTGTATTTTACACTCTTGGGACTATGACAACTATATTTACTGGGTACACAATGACTCGATTGAATATTACCATTATCCACAAATCTTGATACAAGAACGCGTCTGACAGAAGCCATGCATGTCCCGTGTGCACGTGGGTGACCTCTGTTGATTGGTTTCCGGCATCCACATACTCTAGAGTACCTAGTAGGTACATGTAGGTACCTACGTCTGCCAGAGGTTCGCCGGATCCCTACGAGTACAGGCTACATATGTAGATTGAGCGACGGACCTGCATGCTCTTGTCTGATCTCAGTTCGAAAGACACGTCGGGCAGAAGATCACTCATCGTTAACAACGGCCTACCTCTTTCTCTCGGGATCACAATAATCCTGTGTACGACATGGATTATGGGGTTTGCCTTGAACCGCTTGGTCACCTGTCGTGTGCACAGCCAGAAATTGCGGGGATTGCACCGAAACAAGGCAACAACAGGCAAACCCCTGTTATCTTTGATCTCTGTGGCGTTCACGATGATCGCTGAGTGGTCGTGTGGCCTCGCAATTTGCCTGTTTGGCGCCTGGCGCGGACGGGCTGCTTAGTCCATTCTGGGGAATGGTGCTTGCTGGAGTGAAACAAGAGCTGCAGAGGGCCTGTAATCACGCCATCTTCGCCTGTTGAGCCGCACGGGAGCTACCGCCCAAACCTCTCCATCGACTCCATCCACTCCATCGTCACCATCTTTCACTGTTTGTATGCAGAGAGCTCTTGTTGAGCTTCCTCATGCGATAGGAGGTGCCCTATCTAGAGTACCGCTTGTCCATCGGGGTGTCAGGAGCTCTTCGCTCGGGCCTATCCCAACACGCAGATACCCATGTCTCATTTAACCCCCGAGGCTCTCGAGCCACATTTGTGGTATATAACAGCTGGCAAGATTGACTAACTGCATGTATCGGTCTTCTAGAGCGTAACTTATGCCCTTGGACCTTCTAGAGACAACTCTAAAGGATCGGTTAGGTAATCGCAGGTTTCAGAGTCACGCTTGTGACGGGGGCCGGACGGGATACAAATCCGGGGAAACTTTAGATAATGGGCTTCTAGAAATCCGGGTGCGCATGCAGCAATCAGAGTCGCTAGGCCATATCTAAACCCGAAATCCCATCGAGCGAACGAAGATGCTTCTGCTGATATTGAATGGGAAATGCTATCCATGGACTATAACCGTGGTCACGGGGTAAAGACGACAGCTCTTGACGAACAGGGTTTCATGAACAGGGGAGGGTTTCATACCAATAGAATCCGTTAAATCGATTCTTTTACCCCATTATTGCAAACCCGAAACGGAATAGCTACTGTATGACGTTTAAGGACTGTAAGAAGCTGGCATACAAGCCAAACCCTTACAACAGTGCCAGATTGAGGCGGTATGAACATCCAATCGGGCGAGAAACATCTTGGGATTAGATACGAGTAGGCACAGTCATCCATGATCCCGCCAAGCTGTGGCCAATGTCGACTAATCCTTGACGAGCTGTGGCACTCGTGAGTGCTCGATCTGGCTCTGTTTTTTGTTTAATTCATTACAGTCGCAACTCGATATGCCGGATTGCCAAGATTCTAAGGATTTCGTGCGGGATAGCAAAAAATCCGGGATAGCAAATTGATTTTGCAGTAGGAAAAATAATATTCTCCGAGGATCTCGTACGGGACAGCAAGGGATCCGGTGTATTGAGTTCCGGCATATCGAGTTGCGACTGTAATTGCATGCTCGATCTGGCTTAGTGTACTATTGGTATGCTTGCTCGTGAGATGAAATCACCATCATATAAGTATTGGGGTTGATGAGGTATAACAAGTTGAACTACTCTAGAAATTTCAAACCGGCGCACGCATGGCAGGTTAGATTGTCTCGTCGCCAATATGCATAAGGAATCACTCGGTTTTTACGCATGTGACGGTATTGATTGATTGATTGATTGATTGATTGATTGATTGATTGATTGATTGTGCATTGTGTCGGCACCTGTTGGCACATGAAACAACACGGCGGGAGAAAACAACGACAAGAGTAGCATTTCGACTTCTTCATCGTGCAATCCCTTTTCCAATACTTGTAGGAGAAGAATGATGGCGAAAAACACGTAAAAGAACATCTCGTGCCCAGCTTTGGGATTGGCTTGTCAAAATCTAGGAGAGGCGCTAGGCACGCGTCTTCCAGTACCTACTTCAAACAGCGTGTGTAGCAACTGGCGGGAGTTAGTTATGGGCTGGGGCAGTTCTATTGAACCAAACCCTTGTTCATATTAAACAGCCTGTATACTTTTCTCCGTGGAGGAGACCGCAGACCGCCGCCTTCAGAGCCTACCGGTAAATATACGTAGAGTAGGAGTCGGTCCCCCCTAACTGTATTCGTATTTACATGATCCAGGAAGTGTCTCGTCTAATTAGTAGAGTATTACCGATTGGGACTAAATGTCATTACCTGTGTATCACTCAGGCCATCTTTCAACATCGTGAGTTTTGGAATTTATCCGTTGAGTACGCAGTTAATACACTTCACCTAGCACTGCATAAACACCAAGTTGTGTTACCGGACTTACATACGTAAGGTCCCGCAAAAATCTGCTATATGCCACACAGCTCTCCTATTGTGCTTATAATTGTCATTTTTCTCGGGTTTAACGCCAGACATAATTTCTTTTCTTATTAGATCGAGAAACAATTCGCGGTGCCGCACTCAAGTGCAATGACTACCGCTAATTTATTTGGTGATCGGTCATAGAGGTTTGGTTTAACGTTCGAATAGGTGAATCAAACACAATAGGAATATTATGTCCCCAATGTCAAGTCCTATTATACTTGAGTTTGCGTCCTATTGATTTGATTCGTATTATGACTAGTTTTCTTCGTTCAAGACTCGTTACTAGAAACCATGGCCAAAAGCTTGTAGTTAGCACCGCATTTTCTCTCATGCTCCATGCCACACACAGAGTGATAAATCATGATCCTACCACCCATAAGCTTCGATTTGATTGATTGATTACTTCACCCATAAGCCTCGATGATTGATTGATAATTCATTAATTGTATACCCATTTTCAACCGATAGAGAAATATAGTCTAACGGATAGCGATGGTAACATATACATACAGCAGTTCATATTTTTGCTTGATCGTTCTAGCTCTTTTATCTATTCATTTACTTGTGGTTATCATGACACCTACATATAGTTTCCATGGTTCTGATACACTTCTTCACTCATCTCTTGACTATCCCGTTTACCCCAGGTCCCGTAAGTCTGGCCATGGGCTGTCACCCCACTTTTGCAACAAAATCTCACTGTGTTGCAGCGTTCTACCGAATCCAGTCCAATGATAGATACCTCATGAAATACAATGCCTGCATGCGTATATGATGTAGTAGTTTGGATGGCGGGATATTTCACTCTCGCCTACCCAGAGTAATCTTTCGTTTGTCTTTGTCTAATTGATCAATAGGCGCCTAGGCCTATAGCTCATCGCGGCCTGAATCGCTGGAGACTTCATTCATCTATTATCCGTGACCTCCAGCAACCCGGAAAACTCGGAATCCAAATCCGAGATGATGGGTGTCATGTTTACAGTCGTGAATAAGATGTTTAATATGTCGTAGCTGGAAAACCGCCTTTAAAGAGAACAACATAGTTTGGAAGATTATTAACATCTACGCAAATCTTCTGCATGCTGCGATCATTAAAACTAAAGAGCCCCGTAAACATGCCTATAGATATCCCCGTTCCTTTTCCCATGCTAAACATGCTGTAAATACAATAAAAGACGAAAAGGAAACAGGAAAACAAATGGCGAATCAATGAGAACGGCATATGTGGCGTGCTAGCTTAATCCTCGGTAATGTCACCATATTCCCACATTCCCCTCCTTTCGGCCTTAGCGGTGGTTTCCTTCTCCTTGAGGGCCTTGATCATCTCAGGATAAGCCCTTTCGTATGGCCTCAATTTGAAGGGCACCATGGCAAGTCCCTCGGAGACAATTTCAGAGTTCAAACTGGCTTCCATGCGATCGCTGCTGTTAGGGTCGTATAGTGTGACATGAAGAATCCCTTCTGGACTGGTCCAATCAACATTTGCAACTAGTTGCCTACCAGCAGTCAAATGGTTGATCATTTCCACAGATTCAGAGGCATAGTCTGGTTGAGTCGGAAACTGGAGGAATGAAAAAACAGCGTCGACAGCCTGAGCTCTCAACTTAGATATTTGAAACTGCGGTTGGATGAGAGGACGAAGGCGAGAGAACGGAATTTTCTCGGAATTTCCGTAGTCGATGTAGAGGACATCAGCCTCCTTAGCCTCGCGGTTGACATGGCGCACTCTAGCACGATAGAAAGTGTTATCTTCGGTGAATTTTGCTGCGACGTATTCGCCAACTTTAGGAGGTCCCTCAAGACCTTTATTATTTGTAGGCGAGAGATGAAAGGTTCTAAATGCTGACATGAGCTGTTCCAAGGCGGAAGTACCTAGGGCGTTGTTAGTAACAATTGAAGTAGCAGACACCGAGTGTATTCTTACCTGTTCCAACTTGCTGAATCTTTAATTTACCCTGTTCATCGACATTTGTAACGATTACATCACGGTAATCTTTTTTCTTCTCGATGGCTTCGTCTTTCGCGGCCCCATTAGACGGGTCATCCGCATGAACATCAGCGTCCGTCTCTGGCGTCCAGTCTTTCCACATTCCTTTCCGCGCTTGCTTTGCTCTGTTTTCCGCTGCAAACAACTCGGTCGCGTGGCCAGACTTCTCGGCAGAGTACTCATGTACGCTTGCCAATCCCTCCTCCAGCAAGCCTTTGGCAACATTTTCTCGGTTGACATACATTGTGCCAATGAATCCACCTGCACGGTCAACATCGTCCACGTCAATCTCGACATCTCTCTGCATACAACGCCTCGACGCGTAGTCAAGGGCCTCTTGACCAAAAGGTTCAGACGTCTCAGTAGCATTACGAGCGGTTCGTGGGGCACGAATACCCCCAAGGACGAAAGTAAGTCTGGTATTTTCGCTTGGGATTATCACCTTAAACCGGGACCCCGAAGATACAAAATCTACGATACCGGGGGTACGTTTCTTGCGTTGAAGAAACGACACATAGGCCTTGGCCTTAGCTGGGGTTTCTGAGGCCTCAACCATTTTGGAGCTTTGGGGGGCCTTGGCTGCGTACATGCCTTTCTGTTCTTTTTGGGCACTATGGAAAACGATTAGTGTTGAAAAGCAAATTTCTAGCCTGGGAAATAATAAAAACATACGCTTCCTCGGCAGCAAGTAGTTCATCATAGATTGGCGAGCGGTCCTCATCATCTTTTCTATGCCTGATAACACTGGTCCATCCATTCTCCACGAGCAACAAAGCTACATTCCTACATAAATTTATAGTTCATTAGGATGGCACTTACAAGACGTTCATGAATGGGAGATATACTTGTTGTTGAGTGTGACTGTGGCCATCTCACGCTCCTCAAACCCTTCGGTAGCCGGTCTCTTTCCGTCAATTTCAATGCGTACATGCTTGCCAATCAACCTTTTCCGCAAGAATTCTTTGGCCTCAGCTGTGAATGGGGATTGTTTGGGGTCCGAAGGCCTTAGTTATCACAATTTAGTTTTGAATAATAATAGAAGGTATAAGGATCCAAACAAGTGGGATTGTGATACAACTTACTTTGGCTGTCTGACACTTGACAAATTGATCTTTCTCTCATTACCGGCTTTATTCCTCACGAATATTGTATCTGCACTGAGAACTCTTGATACAACCGCATCAAGATTGCTGTTTGAGGTTTTTGCTTTCACCACGTGTTCCTTCCAAAGCTTCAACCTCTGCTCTCGAGCAGTCTTCTCAGCGGCGCGGAACTTGCTCATGTCCGCGCCAATCATAGTACTATGAAAATCAACACATCTGGCCAAACCTTGTGAGAGCACTAGTACTGCAATGTTGCCATTAGGGTGGATAACGTTTCCGATGAACTGAGACTGAGGGCTCAGTCCTAATAAAGTCACTTTAACAGTGCGTTGGAGAAGACGGGCTTCTACAAACTCTTTGGCGAAGTCACCGAACTCCTCCCCAGCTTGTTCAGCGCCCGTAGCATCCGTACGTTTTGAAAGCGGCGCCCGGATACCGGCAATAAGAACGACCATTTGTTGATGAAGCTTGGGCTCGAGTAGAAGACGAACAGCGACTCTGTCGCCAGATATCACGCGCTCAATGATAGCTGCAGAAAAAAAATGATTAGATAAACAATTCTCCCATGATTGAATAGTGATATCTCTGTCCTTACCCTCAATTGGCTTTCCTTTGTATCTCCCCAGAAACTGTACGGGGTCCTCAGGGGCCTCATATCTGGAATCAATCCGCCCATCCTGAGAGTCACCCCACATTCCTTTCCCTTCTGCCCTAGCATTGGCTTCTAAAAGCCTAAGCTTCTCCAATGTAGCTTCATTCTCCGGTTCGTCTTCACGCTTTCCATCGTCGCGGAGCTTTACCATTCCTTCCTCGAGAGCAAGCTCAATGAGGGACCTTCCATCAGGAAGAGTGACAGTGCCGTATTCACGGCCGGTGGTTGGGACTTGATACAATTTCAAAAACTGAACTTCCTTGCCAACAGCGAGTTTGCGAAGAAAGTCTCGAGAGTCAAAAGCGTAAGGCTAATTCGGGATAACTGTTAGTAAAGTGGCCTCATCGGCAGTCCCACAGTGGAAGAAGCCCATAAGGAAAGGAAAATTATAGCTAACCTCGTCACCATCACGCTTCAACCTTGGGGCAGAAACATAAGCCAAAGAAAAAGTTTTCTCGGCCTTTGTCTTTGGAGACTGCAAAAGCAGCGAGTCTCCAGAATTTACAAGCTTAACTTTCCCAATCTGAGCCATGATTCTTAATTGTAGACCGGATGATATGTATCGATGTGTTGAGCCTGCGTGGGAGAATTTCTAGATGAAAAAGACAGATCTTAAGCTCTGTTTGTGGAATACCCTGGGATCCATTCACACTCACCTTGAGACCTGGGTATCTAACAGCTAGCAAACAGATTTAATTGCTAAAGGCGGTATCAATATAGCCAGACAAGAACAATTGATTGATGAGGGTTATTATTGAGCGGAGAAGACAGGTTGGAGTAAAGGACATGTCAGATCACTTTGGGATGGTTGACCTGGCCACAACTCTAACCTTTGGTGGTAGTACAATGTGGGGAAGCTGTACTACCCACCAACACCCGCAGAAAATGTACACCATTGATATGATCACTTCTACGAAGATAAAAATCCACACCCGCAATTGAAATCTGGGGTGCATATCGGACTTTCTGTATACTTACCCCGCATCCCCGCCAAATATTCATCTACAGTTTTCCTCGTCCTGAAATTGCGGCATAAAAATTCAATAACAAGGTTCGATTTGATATCAATGGATTTCTTGCACAATAACTAAAAAAAACTACATGTATACAGCATGGTTAAAAACCAAGTATTACATGCAAACCGCATTTGAAACCTGCCATTACGTCGTTTAATCTGCAACTGGCCCAGATATCTTCATATAGACGAGAGGTATTTAGGCAGAGATTCCGATAACACCTGTCATTCAGGTTAGAATTAATAAGGAAATACCGGGAAATCGTAGAAACATACCACAGGCCGGGCGGGGACCAGCGTTACCAGTCTTCAAAGACTCTGGGTGTCCTCCCTTGCCAAGATCATCCGTACCGGCGTGGACAACGACGGTGCGCTAAGCACATATCAGCATTTTTCTCTCCCCCGCATAGATTCGAAGTTGGGGGGGACATACTCCCACAATGCTGTGGGGCCCGATCAATTTGATGAGTTTGTCCTCAATTGTTCCGTGGGCAACACCCTGAGCGTTGGTCTCGATGTTTCCCAAATCACCAACATGTCTCTCCTCATCTTCTGGCGCGCCGTGGTTCTTGCCGAATGGGTTGAAGTGAGGCCCTGCAGACGTGCATCCGTTGGTGTTGTCACCAAATTCGTGAATGTGCATTCCACGCAGAGCGTTTGGATCGTTGCCAGAGATCTCATAGGTGATAATTGTAGGAGAGTTTTCGTTCTCCTGGGTGAAGGTGACAGTTCCACTCACAGTGGAGTCTCCACGGACGACGGCAACTGTTATTTCGGTATAAGTTAGCCACAGGGCACATAATAAGGTAAGAGCTAGATAGATATTTCGAAATGGGATTGCAAATCCAAACCCGACAACATCAAGCTCTGGAACTACTTGGAATAGAAGACAGATATTACAATCCCCATTTTTCCTCGTCATTCACTGACACCGGTGCCATTTCACCCACATCTTAATCCTATCACCTCTTCGAACAACTAGCAACGCAACAAACGGATTGATTACATACCAGCTTTGACCATTTTTGATGAGTTATGGGGTGTTTGAATAGGGTAGTTGATTGAGATTGTTTGGGGGTGGTGTTTTTTTGGTAGAGATGTCAGTAAGAAGAATGGTGGGGTGAGAGGGAAAGAGGGGTAGCTTTATCGCTGACGATTACGGAATATTTTCTTACGAATTCGAAAATGTGGTCACCACCAGTGACCAGATCTTCTTGACATGTTGCAATACTGAGATTCCTTCTTTTAAACAATCCTTTAGTTTACTCATCGAATGTATGACGGCTCTGCATACGTGTTTAATTTACTAATTTCTTCCAATGCTGCTGACAGGAATACATGTATACTGCGCTGCGCGTGACAGGAATCTCTGCCCATGGACATTCATCATGATTAACACCATACATGTAGCCTCTTTTTGGGCTCTTTTTGGTATGGTCTTGGCTCGCTTCTGTAAGGCTGTTCAGTTCGTTAGTCGGCCGAGAGGGACTTACAAATAGATGGCCTCCAGAACTTTCTCCTCCAGGGAGAGAACGTTACACCATTAATGGTGGGTATGACACTTAACAGAATTCCTCATCGATAGTCGGAAATCTTGTTTCGCATCTAACAACGGGCTTGAGTATGTTAATTGCCCTTCCATGTATGAGCTATAAATTAAAAAAGTAAAAATACACTCTTGACCGATTCAAATTCGGAAAAACTATCTTCCGGTAAACATGCGTCCGAGAAATCCTGTGCTTACTAGAGATATGTACTAGGTACATGTAGTACGTACATACCGGAATAAAACCTACGCCCTAAAGCTGTAGGGAAAACCCCTATAAACACATATATTTATCTTGGGCCTTATAAGCCTGAAGCACGATCTCTCACTTGTGAAGCTCAATTTTTATCTTTCTGTGCCTTTGATCTTGATCACAACCGATCACTCGACTCCAACGATTTTTGATCTCCCAAATTTTATAGGATTCTGATACAAGAGGAGGATGGGAAAGGCAATTACAATGCCTTATACGTGTATATCTCAATGGACTCTTTCTCATCGTTTTTATTTTTACCCAATAGACTAGTGGTATATTTCTTATGCGACTATAATATTTAATAAACCTTAAAGCTTAAGGACGCGTACGCATTCTCCAGATCAGATAATCCCTCTCAATAACCACACTTTTATCAGATGTACACCATAGGGGTAGATAAGAACTAATTGTATTAGAGGATTGCTGTTGGTTTGATACAGGGAAGGGAGTTCTGTGGGTACGTGCACATTGGTATAATATTGTGACGGAGATCTGATCGATAAACAGCATGTTTAGGCCTAGATAGCGCACCGAAACATGCACACTGGGTGCTTTCTGTGATGAATTGTTATGTTGTTTTATCTTCGATGCAAGAATTTGGGTGTACTGTATATAGCTATAGTTCTTTGAATTAATGGGCTGTAACGAAATATACACGTGAGTACGTACTAATAGGGTTCGCACGATCAACATGATGAAAACAAGAGCTCAGTAGTTCTTAATTGACCTTGTTTAGGTGTATCCGTATACGTATAGCAAGCCAGATTCTTAAAAAAGCAAGCCGCCAGTACTCTTGATCAAACCCTAGCTTCCTGTAGATTCCATGACATGCAAATATATGGTAACGCGCCCCATGGCCAAACAAAGGCCTAGGTCAGGCCTCCTAAATACTGCAGCCACTAGAATGATTTGCGGTACGTGCGAGACAATTAAACTTTTAGATAATTCGATGATCATGGTCTTGTGCTTTATCAAAGAATCATTTTAATCCCTTGATCAATTTAACGGGTCGAGTTGTATATATATATGTATATATTATATATAACGTCTGGACCGGGATTCACACGCCTTAAATCAATACCATAGGCGGAAGACTGCGCATGCATACACCAGAGACGTAGTAAACCAATACGTAGCGGCCAATACGGTCAAACGGTACTACTGGTGTTGTAGGTATATATCACGATCATCTATCGATCACCAGAAACCTCCTTAAATAAGCGCTTCTTGGTGGCATGCATGTACATGTAAGTACATACCTCATACTTTGCACCGTACACACATGTAATTCCTACATGTATGTATACATTTATGTTTCCCTGTATCGCACATTGTTCAAATATAGGGAAACGCCAGCTCCAAGCTCCGTAGGCTATTTTCTTGGGTTTATATAGTTAAGCCCGGCCGGATGGGGACGATATTTTGGATTGAATACTCGTGAATATAAAGTATAGCTAGCTATATGTATGTGCATGTAAGTATATGTAAAGTACAGTACCAAAAAGGGGATGCGATAGGGGGTACGTGTACATGTCTATGTATACTTAATTACTATATGATATTAGTATACAGGTGATAATGCGAATTTGTGAAAAGTTCGGGATTAAATATATCGGTGTCCTATGTACTTACGTCGTAGCTAACTCGCTGTAGCGTTATCCGCTACATGTATATCATATACACGTGCACCGAATACACTCGAGCACTCGTCTTTTTGGTAATGTAGGTACTAGGTACTGGCTTCGTACGAGCAGCTTTCTGGCCTGTACGAATTGGACAGAAACTCCTGCACTCCCTATTGGTTGAACAGTGCTCACCTAAATTGATTCTCTATTAATTAGACCCGATTTGTATGCGTTTGGTTGATATTTTAAAGCAATGAATTCTGCCTTATGTTTGAATACAAATGATCTCCATAAAAGGTATGTAGAACTTACCGGGTATTTCTGATCGATGTCGTTGGGAGCTAGGGACGCTTTGTCAAATGAGGCTCTGCGTGACACCAGTTTAGATATATATATTGACTGCAGAAATTCCCTTGGGGTACACACATGCCAGAAGGCTTTGTCTTGTACTACTATGATCATGATCGATCTAGAGTAGCTATAATTGTTATGGATTTGGATATAGCGAACTGCATGGATAGATATTGCCATATATAGTCTCCGGCTGCTAAGCTGTAGCTTACTTAAGTCCGTGTAGGTAATCGAGAGAGAGAAGTAAAGGAATGGAAAGGTAAGAATAGAAACAGGTAGTCGAAAAAGCCCATGCTATACCTAGGTATTCGAGATTAATGTTATCGCTTGTGCATGTGGTGTACGTGTTATAGCGTTAGAATTCTTCAAACCACCAAATGATGTCCAAAAGACAATAATCTAGTACATGTAGCCCTTTCACACAAAGAAAATAATTGTCTTCTCGCTCTTGATCTCAAACCCAAGATCTTCGGCGAGATATGTTTTGATTTAAAGGGTTATTGTATTTAAAAGTAACCAAAGCAGAGGGGCCGATCATTCTGATAGGACTGCTACATGTATGTATCTATCATACCTCTACCCATGTTGGGATCAATAACAGCAGGGCAAGTCCTAAAATAAAGCATCCACATCTTCTTTCCATCCGTCCATCTATCCCTACAACATCATCCCAACAGTCAACTCAGCTAACCTTCTCCTCCTTTCTCAAGACACAGCATAGCCGTTGAGTTGTGGTCGC